TCTCTCATTCTCTCCTAGTTTTGTCTACTATTGCTTAGTGGATACAAGAGCTAAAGTAGTGGGCGTTGAGATATTGCAAACTGACATTTTATTCTTTACAAGCTAGCCCTATAACAAAAAAGTACCTTTGAGCTGAGATTAAGAAATAAGAGTTAAAAAGTTTGGAGCCTCAGACTCATTTCCTTCAAATGGACTACAGACCATCAACTATCGCAAGAACTCCAAGGTTGGAATTTGGATGTTAGCTTTAACCTCTAGAGATCGCTTCCTCAGCGGACAAAAAATATAAATCTCTAACCTTTTTCCCTTTTTAATGGCCCTATATCATACCAGACCTAAGAAGCTTGAGTCAACTAAAAATCTTCAAAATTTCAACAAAAATGACAGCATAGAAGGAAGTTAATGAAAGCAAAGTAACCCTTCTAAAACGCAATCCTATTCTATTAATGGTTCCAAATATGTCTCTTTTCTTGAAATTCATCAAAATTTGTCCTCTTTCTCCATTCACATACTTGAACAAATCCCCCCACACAACTCAAGCAGTGTTTCAGGACACCTAATCAATTTTACATCAACCGACACCCAATACATCATTGTCTCTGAGGAAACCCAAAGAAATCAAGAAGTTACTAACCAAACTCAAAGAAAAACTATAATCATCTTTGGGGATTTTAAGGTTCTCAATGTGACCATGTTTATTAGCATATCCACACTCATCCCCAAAATTCATTGAAATTTACCTCATATGCAGATTCAATCTCCCTAAATGCTTTATCCTTTTCAGGAAAATCGTCCCCTTTGAACACATCTGGATGATACTGCAAATCCCCAAATTTAAAATATAATGTTAAAAATAATTTTTTTTTTTAATATTGAAGAAACCGACACATAAAAGGAAAAGGGGAAGAGACCTTCAATGCGAGACAACATCACATTTGGAAGCAAGCGGAGTGAGACCGAGCATGGCGTATTGGGCAGGAAGGTCAGCGAAACATCTGCCCGGAATTCTGAGGCAACGCCGTCGGGCGCGCCGCTCTTGGGTCCATATCCATCTCAATCTGAATCCAGCGCTACCGTTTCCCATCATTGTGGTTATTGATAGTATGCGTTGCGTAGGGTTCACTTGAGATTAGGTGGCGTTGGCTCCTTCTCTGTGTCACAACATGGTTCAATCCAACTTCGAACTTCACAAACCTCCAGTGGTTGGCATGGGGGCATGGGGGCATGGCGGTTAAAATGTCAAAATAGAGGGAAATTTTGGGAAATTACCAAACCAATTTTGGGGATTAAACGTAATTTTGAAAAGTGCACGGTGCATTTGGAGGGTATATCTTAAATATTACTGAAATATCCGAATTTCCAACTTGAATTTTTAGATTTCAGTTTGGTTATTCGGGTTTAATTTAATAAATTATTTATTAATTATTTTTTTTATTTTAGTTTAAAATATTTTTTTTCAAATTCATCTATTAACTTTTAAAATTATTTTATTTTCACCTATCTCATACAAACTCCATTAATTTTGTTAACTGAACTTCAAATTTTTAATTATATATCACTACGTAAACTATCATGTAACATCACATAAGCCACCATGCGGTACCATATAAGCTAATATGTAGTCTAAAAGAAAGGAAAAATTCTCACTTCTTTATTTAAAATAAATGCTTAATATAAAAAAAGGGAAGTGATCCACACTTGGTGGAAACTCAGGACCACACACTTGCATCCACCCTATGAGCATTCAGCAAATGTTACCATGATTCTACTGCCAATACCAAACCAACTTCCCTCTTTAGCAAGAGCCGCAAGTTGGTCCAAATGGTTGACATTATCTGGTATGATCAGAACATTTTTGGTACTTCAATCGACCTCCAATCTTATCAATTCTATCATCAATGTCATGCAGGTGCAAGTCTCAAACCCCTAAGATATCATATAGAAGTCTCTTTTGCGACTCAACCAGTTTACTGCGTCTTGATCCTAACTGGATGTCTTCAAGCATTAGCAAGCTATTAGCATCAAATTCTGAAAAGATTCTATTCCTAATTACCTTGGCAACTATTGTCTTTCCTATTCCAGGCATTCCACAGATTCCTATGAAACGAACATCTTTGCAGCCAAGCCTAAAGAGTAACATTATATTCTTTACTGGAGACACAATTCTAAAGAGATGGTTCACATCACCAAGGTAAGTGGGATGCAATTTTTCCCAACCATCTGCAACAATTTTCTCGATCAACTCAGACTCATCCCTGGTTGATGTGAAAAAGGATTAAACATTAGAGTTGGAATCCAACTTAAGTCCACTTTAAGGATGTTATGCTACATCGATCTACCAAATCAGTAAGTAATTGTAGGCATGAGAATAGGTATTTTTAGTCCAAAATGGCTCAAAAAATAGTACTAAAAAACAATGAGAATGAATTTAGCAACAAAAGAAGAAATCTATCCAAATAACCATTCAAGCAAGGGAATAGATGACTAGATTACCCATCAACACTCTGTAGATCAAATCCAGAGAGATTGGCAGCATTGGTAACAGCAGTCTTCCACCTTTCTACTTTGTCCATGGTAACCTTTTGGTGATGAGCACGAGCAAATGCCTTGCTAAAGCTCCCCCTTTGTTTGCGAACATCTGAGGGATCCACATGGAAGAAAAAGGGTAGAAGAATCTGCCCCAACACGTCCCTGCAATTGAGGATCTTCATGAGCTCGTCCAGGCACCATGCAGAATCAATATAGTTTTCGGAGAACACGACAATCGCAATCCTAGAATGCTCGATGGCTTCTAGCAGGCTGGGGCCAATGCCACTTCCTCTTGTGAGCTCATTGTCATCTTTATAAGTCCTGAATCCCACCTGGTTTAAAGTAGAATAAAGATGACCCAGAAAATTATTGCGGACACCTTCACCTTTGAAACTCAAGAATAAGTCATAATTCCAACACGGGTGACGAGGGTCTGATGGAAAAGAAGCAGCCATCAATGAAGTTGAACTATGGAAAAAGATGGTTTTATTTTTCCCCCCGGCCAGCAGTAGCATTCCGTTGAAGTTGAAATTTCATGTGAGCTTTTCAACTGAGTATTGCGACTTGGAAGCATGCATCATGCGGGCATTGGACGCATGCTTCAGACGGACATTGTTGATTCCATCCAATCTAGCTAGCGGACGTTAGAGGCGTGCTTCAAGCAGATGAAAAACTGTATATTTTTCAACATGGGACTGTTAGATTCCTCCCAATCTGTAACCAGACTTAAGGAATAACAAAAATGAAAATGATAAATTAGTATCTTGAATGAAAGGACAAACCTATATATATATATATATATATAGAGAGAGAGAGAGAGAGAGAGAGAGAGAGAGAGAGAGAGAGAGAGAAATTGTAAACAAAGATGCTAATTTTATA